TTCTTTTGAATGTTTTTCTTGGTTTCTGTGGCTAGTTTGTACTTTGTAAATTTGTACTTGTATAGAATTCTAACAAAACCATGAACTTAAATCAGACCTACTCTGCAAAATGTATTTTCAGATGTATTTGAACCATATTATAGTTGTTTACTCACCCAAATAAATGGTGGGGGGAAACTAGCCAAATATTTGGAGTGATTCATGTATGTTTAAAGGCCATTTTGACCAAATTCAAGATGAAACAAAACATGTAGGAACCTAACAGGCAGAAGTATTGACATGCAGTTACAGTGTCTAACAACAGTGAAGTACAATTACTGTTTGAATAAAACAGTAACAAAACATTAAGACTGTACATGTTTCTACTACTACTATTACTACTACTACTACTGTAAATGTTTGTACTACTACTCAAATTTCCTTCAGGATCAATAGAATATCTGTCTTTCTACTACTTCTGTTACTACTACTACTACTACTAACACTACTACTATTACTGTTACTTTGCTACTACTACTACTACTACTACTACTACTACTACTACTGTTACTTTAGCTACTACTACTACTACTACTACTATTACTGTTACTTTAGCTACTACTACTACTACTACTACTACTACTATTACTGTTACTACTACTACTACTGCTACTACAACTACTACTGTTACTATTACTTTAGCTACTACTAACTACTACTACTACTACTACTACTACTACTGTTACTGTTACTTTTACTACTACTAATACTACTACTACTACTAACACTACTACTGTTACTGTAACTTTAGCTACTACTACTACTACTACTACTACTACTACTACTGTTACTTTAGCTACTACTACTACTAATACTAACACTACTACTATTACTGTTACTTTAGCTACTACTACTACTACTACTACTACTACTACTATTACTGTTACTTTAGCTACTACTACCACTGCTACTACAATTACTACTGTTACTATTACTTTAGCTACTACTAATACTGCTACTACTACTACTACTACTACTACTGTTACTGTTACTTTAGCTACTACTAATACTGCTACTACTACTACTACTATTACACTACTACTGTTACCTGTACTACTACTACTACTACTACTACTACTACTACTACTACTACTATAATAATAATAATAATAATAATAATAATAATAATGAAATAGTTTAATAATTCACGTTTATGTGAACTATGCAGTCAAAACAATTTCCATTTCAAACTACAGGAGTCAGTGGTATGTTGTTCTCAAAAAGATTTCACTTTTGACAGATACTCACTTCCCTAACGCCAGAGTCAGGAGGAGGTGGTTAGACCGGTTCAGACCTAGTTCAGACCTGGTTCAGACCTGGTTCAGACCTGGTTCAGATCTGGTTCAGACCTGGTTCAGACCGGTTCAAATCCGGTTCAGACCTAGTTCAGACCTGGTTCAGACCTGGTTCAGACTCAGTTCAGACCCAGTTCAGACTCAGTTCAGACCTGGTTCAGACCTGGTTTAGACCTGTTTCAAACCCAGTTCAGACGTGGTTCAGACCTGGTTCAGATCCGGTTCAGACTCAGTTCAGACCTGGTTTAGACCTGTTTCAAACCCAGTTCAGACCTGGTTCAGACCTGGTTCAGACCTGGTTCAGACCTGGTTCAGACCTGGTTCAGACCTGGTTCAGACCTGGTTCAGACCTGGTTCAGACTCAGTTCAGACCTGGTTCAGACCTGGATCATATTTTGTTGCGTCATCTGATCTGAGCTGAACAAAAGGAGGACAGTGCTTCTCTGTCTCATGTTTTGGCCTTGGGGAGCGGATGTTTTGTTCTTTCCCCAGGTACATGCGCTATGACAACCCAGATTGGAAAATTTCACCTGCTTTTTGTCCTGTACATTTGACACATTATTCCGTGCTGCTGTGGGAACCTGTTGAGCGTGGTTCTTTATTTAAATATCATTCTGATTAGAAAAGATTAGTAATATTTTGTCAATTGCATCCATCCACACTTCTTCTCCACTCACACTTCCTGCAGCTCTTCTGGGGAGATTCCAAGGTGTCTCCAGCATTCCTGTGTTAGGTGTTTTCAAAATGTTACAAAGGAGATTTCAAAATGTGTAGAAAATGTGATCAGAGTTGACTCTGTGCAGAATAGCACCAGCAACCTCACTGTTATCTTCACAACTTCCTGTCCAGTTGTATCTCTTTGAGGTTGTCCATGATTATTATGAGTGAGTCTGACACAGCAGGCAATGGACAGGGTCAGTGGACGGGGATTAGGGGGTCAGGGGTAGGGCTTTTTTCGTGAAAATGACATGAAAATAATTGCAGTTGTTTTTGTTCAATTTTTGGAGCCCAATTAGGCCTTATGTACCATATTTTTGGACTATAAGTCCCTCCGGAGTGTAAGTCGCACCAGCCAAAAAATGCGTGATGAAGAAGAAAAAAACATACATAAGTCGCACCGGACTGTAAGTTGCACTTTTGGGGGGAAATTTATTTGATTAAATCAGAGACCAGGAAGTTCTAGCAATAAAAATAGAACAGTGTTAACTAGTGCTGTCAAGAGATTAAAAAAATAATAATTGAGAAATATATTAATTATGATCTGTAATTAATTAATCTAATTAAGCTCTTTTTTAATTTCACCTAAACATTGCTGAGAAAATCCTCAGCTTGAGGTATTTTCATTTAAATTCATGATTATATTATTGTGGCAGATCAAAAGACTGATATAGAACAAAAAAAGTGACTTTATAAAGTAATTTATTGTTTAACTAACTTTAACAGATGCAGTCATTTACATTCCGCTGTGTTCTTTTGTCAAACTCTAAATAATTAGAAAACACAAATAAAATAAAACATCAGGTTTTTGTGGGACCTGTCACAAAACAGTGCTGTGCAGGACACATTCTGAAAGCTCATGGCGGCGCGGCCAAAATGAGACTGCACGATGCGAGAGCGGGCGGTAGGATGATAAACTACAGCCCCACAAACTAAATCTGAGTGTAAAGTAAAATATACAATTGATAAATGTTTGTCTATCATACATCATTTGTGCTGGATATTTTATTTTGGCATTAATAAAAACATACAAAACATTTTAAACAGCCTAAATTTGCAGATGTGTTCTAACCTTGCACACATTTTAGACAAATCCTTTCCACTTCTCCATGTTTGATAGAGTTTAAGAAAGTGAACGTCCCCATTAGGGATGGGCATTCCATAAAATTTTATTAATCGATTTTCAATTAATCATGAATGTTTTTTATATAATAAGTATCATCATTATTATTACTGTTACTAATCTGCATAAATAAACTCAACTTTATTAATAATAATAATTTGACACCCCTACTGTTAACGTCACATATGAACAGTTCTTCAGATAAATATAACATAAACAACAGAACAGAACAAGTTTAACCAAACTCTCCATCTCACTCCAAATCACTAAATCTATTCAGTTCTTCATCCTCGGTGTCACTTCTGAGCAACTCTGCGACCTCCAGAGGTAAACAGAGCGCCGCCTCCTCTTTTGTGTCGCTGTGATCAGACTCAACATCAGTTCCAGTTAGAATTATTCGGGTCTTTCTGAATCCCGACAGGATGGTTTCGGTGTCACTGAAGTCCAGGCTTTGTCCATTCATCCAGTGCCTTCCAGGAAAGTTGCATGGTGCATCCTCCATGTTACCTAGAAGCTTTGTTCTCCATCCCCACTTTCTGCCAGTCCCTCACAAGTTTCTCGCTCACTGCAGACTTTCTTTCTGCTGTTCGATTACCGTTTTAAATAGTTGAGTGGTGTAGAAGTAATGGTGGACAAATAGTTATGATCAGATTTCCCGGGATCAAACCCTAGCCAGGGGTTATGGTAAAGGTCAGGGATTAAGGGTTATGGTTAGGGTCAGGGGTTAAGAGTTATGGTAAAGGCCAGGGGTTAAAGGTTATGGTTGGGGTCAGGAGTTAGGGGTTATGGTTAGAGTAAGGCCCCCCCCAAAGCAGTTCTACGCTCAAACCCAAACAAAGTGACCTGTTCCAAAACCTAACCCGAACTTTAACCTACTTTAAACTAAAAGCATTGTCAAATATTAACATTTGCTACCATAGTCACCAATGCAAAGTGGCGATTGTGTAGTATAACTTGGTTGGGGGAAAAACTGGGGCTAGTAACATGTTAAAGCTTAAATGACTGAAGCAATCTACATATACAGACAACAGGATAATCTTTACTTTAAAGGTCCTACGCAAACGGAAACATTGTGCAGTGTCGGTTTGTGGCTGGAGGTCATTCACAACCTCAAGTGTGACATGTCAGCGCTCCTTGTGGTGATCTCTGGTGACAAAGAGCTAATGGTCCAGAGCAAATACACATGAGAGGATTTCAAGTGCATACAGCAGCTTTTCATATTTTACTAGTTACGACTTGGTCTGGTGGTTTACTATTTATCATAGTTTTCAATCAGTAGTAGTTAATAAGTGGCAGTTTGTAGAAAACAACAGAGAGGCAAAGTACAAGAATACATAATCTCAAAATAATTATGTTAACTATGTCGTAGAACAGTGATTAGTCTAACCAGTCACATGCACTTTACACATTCAGACTCCTGTGCTGATTCAGATTCAGGTCACTTTGTTTCAAGACTGTAGACAAATATAGAGCACAAAGAGCCCTGTGATAACAAGTACAACAACAACTACCAGAACTCTAACACAATCTGTGTGATAGGTTTTTATAAATGTAACTAAGACAGTAGGTCATTCTCAACATTCTACAAATGAATCAGTTTCACTTCAGACCTCAGTGTGTTTCAGTGTCAGGAGTCAGGACTGAAGTAAAAAAAAAAAAAAGCAATAAGACATACATTTAAATAGAGCATAAGACTGGCCCTAGCACTGTTCCCTGAGGTAAACTGTTAAAACTTCCGACATGTCAAAATAAATAAGCAGTGTGCACAATAATATATGTTTTGTTCTTTTCACTGTTAATTATTTGAATGTTTTTGCCTTTTTCAGGTATTCCCTGTTCAGGAGTAAAAAGCACATCCTCCACCTGCACAACAGACGCAGCACTGACTCTTTGGATCAAACTGAACTAAACCCTGTTTAGGACCAGCCACAGGGCACAGAGGGATGGAACTATTTTCACTGTAAAAATAAAGTCACTCCTCTATTGTCTGGCCCCTGGTGCCCCCCGAGGGCCCCATGCCCGGGCTGCTGAATGCAGACGCCTCCTCTAGCTCCAGGCAGGAGCTCTTGGACCTACAGGACTACCCTCCAGATGGAGATCCAGGTGTGGACTCTCAGAGCCACAGTCCCATAGGCTCTGCTCCCAGGAGCCCCTCCAGTCTTGGAACTGATGTCTCTGCTCATGCTGCTGTTTTCACTGGAGCCACGTCCTTCCAGGGACAGTTCTGTGAGCTAGAACCAGCTCAATGTGGACACAGTCCAATGGAGCAGGACTCGGACCTGCTGTGTGGCTGGGGGTCTCTGAAGCCCAAATTGATCCAGGTGTTCAACACTCCTCGCTGGGTTCTCTTCTTTCTGTCTGTGGCCTCTTTCCTCCAGGGTTTGATCATAAATGGTTTGATCAACACTGTAGTGACCTCCATTGAGAGGCGCTTTGACCTGAGCAGCTCACAGACCGGTCTCATCGTCAGCTCATATGACATTGCGGCGTGTGTTTGTTTGGCGTTTGCCAGTTACTTTGGGGGGAATGGGCACAAACCTCGCTGGCTGGGCTGGGGCATCATGATCATGGGTTTGGGCTCTCTGGTGTTTGCCCTGCCTCACTTCACTACACCTCCGTACCAGGTGAGCTCTCTGGAGGTGTCAGATCTGTGTTTGGGGACTAACAGCAGCCTGTGTGAGGGCAAAGGAAGGAGCAGTCTGTCGCGGTACTGTCTCGTCTTCATGTTGAGTCAGTTTCTTCACGGAATAGGAGCCACGCCCCTTTACACGCTGGGAGTCACATTCCTGGACCAGAATGTTCACTGCAGCGCTGCACCCGTCTACATTGGTCAGTCTGACACCAACACTACAGAAAATGGTTTTATTCAAGTAACAAATATGTAATAGATTACTGACATATTACTGGTTACATAGAGATGTGGTCATTTGTTGTGTAGTGTGTTGGATGCCTTTAACCTATTGTGTTTGGTCTCTTCCTCTATGACTGTGTGATCTGCAGTGTTTCACTTGTTTTCCATATTACACCGACTTTACTCTCACAGCCCTCATCATGAGACCACACTTTCTGTTATTTCATAGACTGTATAGTACTCCTGACATCCAGAGCACACACATGCTGCGTCAGTATTTGAACCCTTTTGCTCAGAGCCATGCAAACATTAATTGGTTCATAGTAGAATATGAGTATGTCCATGGAGACTCATTAAAATGCTAAATCCTGTTACTGTGGTCACCTGAACCCTTGGACGGTGTGGTTGATCATACCACGTTATTGCAATATTGCAATAAAATACTGTTTACCGCGACAGCCCATTGTTTGAAAAAGATCCACAAAGAGACATTTAGGCCTACTTCATTCACAGGTTAGTTTAAAGTAAGAAAGACGAGAGGTGAGTGCACATAAAGAGCAGCAGCAGTGTGGGGGAGGAGGGAGGACGAGCTGGAGCGACATACAGTTTATGGCAAGGGTCTCCAACCTTTTTTCTCTGGTGAGCTACTTTTAAAAAACAAAAATGCCAAAGAGCTACTTATTTTAACAGCTGGGCCCAGTCAAGCAGAAGTAAACAGCAAGGCCAAAAATTCAAGTTAATGCATCTGATATAAAAATGTATTGAACAGATACATATGTACTCTAGTTTATGAAACTGTTGACCTTTTTTCTGTACCATTTTTGGTTTTAAAGTTCCATACGTTTTAAACAGACCATGTATGAAACATGGAACAAAAATTATTTCCCAAATTTCAAAGACCTGAAAATCATGTAAATAAATGGATGTATTTCATCATATCTTGTGTTATTCCATCTTTGAACTGTTGATGAAGGTACATGATTTTTCAACAAAAAAGTATTTAAAATGATAAAAATTTGCTTGGAAGGACTGACATATTTTATAGAAATAGTTTCCTTTCATTTTGAAGTAATATTAAAGTATTCGGAAGAAAAAAGCTGATAAATTATACAAAATCATGCACCTTCTACTCGCTACAATTTTCCCTCCGTTACTTTTCCCTCCGTTACCATGACCTTTCTTAATAAAAAATCTCATGACTCAAAAAGTAAGAGGTTTTTCAACCTAATCTTGTACCATATGGTAGAAAACTATATGAAGCAAATATTCAAACCAGTTTGTTAAGGATATGGAAGTGAGAACCAAGAGTTATCACTGTTTGGATTTATTGCCCAAAAAGTGCTGCATATTTCATTCCCTCCGTTACCGACATGAGTTTTTAAAAATTTTTGTCAACAACTTGAAAGAATATCACAGGTTTAACTTGACCCTGTTGGAGTGTAACTCTTTCCTACATTCTGATACTTTACTTATTTCAATAGTCCCTCTAGTTTCTGAATAAGAGACATTTGAATGTAAAATATCTACCCCTGTTTCCCTCCGTTACTGCTTGACCGGACCCAGTTGCAAGAAATGTAGTAAATGTAAGAGCCACCGCCTTAGATTAGGGACAGTTAATCTAAAGCTGTGTCTTAGATTAACAAAACTGGGCATTAATATTGTAGATTTACAATGGTAATTAATCAAATTTTACTTATTCAGCACAATACGTATAATTCAGAAATACCTTGGCAAGCAACTTGGAGTGGGGTGGAGAGCTACTGATGCTCCTGAGCTACAGGTTGGAGACCCCTGGTCAATGGTTATCTCTTCCTCTGTCTGTCTGTTTTTTCTTTCTTTTCCTACTTCCTTTCTCTGTCTCTCTCCTTACACTTTCTCTCTTTCCTCATACATTCCTCTCTCCCAAATATTTTCTATCTTTCTCCCCTTGTCTCCCTCTCCACACTCTCTTCTCTCTCCCTCCTTTCTTTCTCTTTTTATATTCACTTTTTTCCCTCTCTCTCTTTTCCCCTCTCTCCTTACAATCCTCTTTTTTATCTCTCTCCCTCAGGAATCTTCTACACTGCAGCCACAGTTGGACCTGCAGTGGGTTATCTTCTGGGTGGATACTTCCTCAATATTTTCACAGAGATTCACACAGAGTAAGTCACCACAAAGCCCACACTCAGTCCCTCTGTTCAGTCAAATGGATCAGAAGTTTGAAATTGCTCTTATGAGAGAACTAATTTTGCCATAGACAACCATAAAGTTCTACAACCTTACAGGGTGGTCATTGTGAAAAAGGTCTGTAGAAGGAGTGGGTTGAAAAGTCTGGAACTTAACAGTCAGTTTTTATTCTGGAAGCAAATTTTCCATTCATTTTCCTCATATGCCTGCACCTGTGTCAAATATGTGTCTTTATTTTACATAATTTAAATGAGAGAACACGGAAAATTCGAATAAATGCAGAGACAATTTATGCACAAGGAAAGCAAATTTGCAACAGTGCAAACTTGAATTCAACAAAATAAAGGTCTTGTCATTTATCTGTATTAGTTTAATCGTAACTGTTGTGTCATTTGGACGAGTTTGCAGGTTGCAGGTAACATACCTCTACGCATGCCACATCTGCTGCCCATTATAAACTTCACCAAAATTACAAAACTAGAAAAGACTCGACAAGATTTAAAGAACAAAGATGCAAAAAACCCAAGGCACTCACTGGTTAAAATAAAATGCCTTTATTAGTTTACGGCATGTCTTAATGGACAACTTACAAAGTCCCGACGCGTTTCAGCCTATGGCTTTCCTCAGGGGACAAACGAGGAAAGCCATAGGCTGAAACGCGTCGGGACTTTGTAATGATGTTAACTACTTCCTGTTTCTCTACTTCCTGCTTCTGAAGAGTGCGGACACTATCTTTGCTTGCTCCTGCTATTTTTGCTTTTTAATCAGTTTACCTCCTCCAACAACGGATAATGTGTCTATTTTTGATTTCCTTTTAAGTAAAAACTATTTGTACATTTTTTAACAAATCATCTGATGAGCCAGCAACATGTTGGGGAGAAGAAACCAAGGGAATTCTATCTGTGAGCGCTGTCGGAACTATCAACAAGAAATTTATGAGCTACAAGCACGGATATTTGCTTTAGAAACTGAAAAAGGACTTCAGACGCTACCAGTGACTTCCAGTGGTGAGCAACCTACAGTTACTTCCAGAGAAGAGGGTGAAAATTCTTTCAACTTAAACCTGAGTGATACTGTGTCTTTTCCAAAACTTGGTACAGACCAAAATGCTAAGCCAGCGCAGCGAGTGATAAAAGACAATGCTAATATCATTATATCACCCACAATAAAGCTAACAAACAGATTTTCACCACTGTTACAGACTGATGTTAACGTATAAACGGATAATGTACTGTCATCACAAAACAAGAACAATAAAGTTGGCAAAAGAGTGCAGGCATACCGGGAATCTGTGCCAAACGTCAAGGTCAGAGATACGTTGCTGCTAGGAGACGGGGCTATCAGTGGTGTGAGTCACAGAAAAATCCTAACATGCTGCTACCCGACGTACACTGTTTCTGAGATAACAAAACTCCTGCCAAAAGTTTTGTCAACACACCAAGGGGTTAAACAGCTGATTGTGCATGTGGGTGCAGTGGACATCAGAATGGAACAGAGTGAAGTCTTGAAAAGGGATTTCACTAAATTATTCGAGGAGCTTAATAAAGTGGAGGTTAAGACATTTATCAGTGGACCTCTTCCCAACATAGACCTAAGGAACAGGAACAAATTTACCCGACTGTTTCAGCTGAACACGTGGCTGCTGAATGTGTGTGCGGCCAGAGGATTGCACTACATTGAGAACTTTGATCATTTTTGGAAAAGGGAGGACCTGTTTGAGGGAAATGGCCCACACCTAAGCAGAGGTGGAGTGAGAGTGTTGACGGAAAACCTCCTCCACACTCTGAGGCACCGGCCTGGACAGGGTCCTGTGCATCCAGTGAGAGAAAAGAGAAAAGGGAGAAGCATCCCTACTGCACCAAACAGAGAACCAGCCAACGAGTCAGCACCATTGACAGCACCACCACTGCCACAACCACTTCCCCCTTCCCCAGACAACAACTCAGCAGCATCACCACCTCCCACTCCCCCAGAGAACAAGTCAGCAGAACCACCTCCCCCAGAGAACGAGTCAGCAGAACTACCTCCCCCAGAGAACGAGTCAGCAGAACTACCTCCCCCAAAGAACAAGTCAGCAGAACTACCTCCCCCAAAGAACGAGTCAGCAGAACTACCTCCCCCAGAGAACGAGTCAGCAGAACTACCTTCCCCAGAGAACGAGTCAGCAGAACTACCTCCCCCAGAGAACGAGTCAGCAGAACTACCTCCCCCAGAGAACGAGTCAGCAGAACCACCTCCCCCTCCCCCAGAGAACAAGTCAGCAAAACCACCACCCCCAGAGAATGAGTCAGCAGAACTACCTCCCCCAGAGAACAAGTCAGCAGAACTACCTCCCCCAGAGAACGAGTCAGCAGAACCACCTCCCCCTCTCCCAGAGAACAAGTCAGCAGAACCACCTCCCCCTCCCCCAGAGAATGAGTCAGCAGAACTACCTCCCCCAGAGAGCGAGTCAACAGCACCACCTCCCCCTCCCCCAGAGAACAAGTCAGCAGAACCCCCTCCCCCAGAGAACAAGTCAGCAGAACCCCTCCCCCAGAGAACGAGTCAGCAGAACCACCTCCCCCTCCCCCAGAGAACGAGTCAACAGCACCACCTCCCCTCCCCCAGAGAACAAGTTAGCAGCATCACCACTTTCCCCTCCCCCAGAGAACAAGTCAGCAGCACCACCTCCCCCAGAGAATGAGTCAGCAACACCACCACCACCTCCCCCAGCGCCACCAGCACACCCATCACCTCCACTGCCCACAGACCAGCCTGGAGTCCCCTTTGCTACATCTACTCCATCAACGGACTCTTCACTCTCCTCCTCCCCACCTTCACCCATGGCACTGCCCAACCATCTAGAAAGCCTCATCAGATCGGGAATCAAGATGGTTCCTCTCACACCTAACATAGCACGGTCAAGGGTTCTGACATCAACTATGTTGAACTCTCCCCCATACAAAACTGTGCCTGTTTCACCACCAGAGACTCTCTCAGCTCAACCCTCACCCAAACCTCCCCCTACTCCACCTCCTCGGTCCTTACCTGGTCCTTCACCCAAACCTCCCCCTACTCCACCTCCTCGGCCCTCACCTGGTCACTCACCCAAACTCTCCCCTGCTCACCCTCCCCCGCCTTTCCCTAGAGCTGTTATCACCAAGAGCTAGGATGCACAGGGCCTCTGCTGTCCCAGGACATACAGTCATGATAAAGGTAATATCAGGCTGGGGCCCTGTGATGGAGTTATATCTCCAGTTACAACACGTAGCCGGATTAAAAGAAGGACATTTATACTGTCTAATAAGATAATTTTTTGTTCACATTCCCTGTAAGAACATCCAGTCCTACTGAAACTAATCCAAAACTTGCTGTGCTCAATGTCAGATCTTTTTGTAACAAATCATTTCTAATTCATGATTTTATTTCTTCTTTTAATCTTGACTTTATGTTTTTAACTGAAACATGGCTTGACAAAAACACAGGTCATGCAGTGCTAGTGGAATCAACCCCTCCCAACTTCAAATTTGAATCTGAAACATGAGCAAATAAAAAGGGTGGAGGAGTGTGTGCATTTTTTAGAGATGATTTGGTTACACACAGGTTGTCATTTTTTTCATCATTTGAGTATGTTTCCTTCAAAATGGCGCTAACACAATCACCGTCCATACTCTACATAGTCATATACAAACCTCCTCAGCTCTGTCAAAATTTTATTGATGATTTTACTGAGATGCTTTCAGTTGTTTGCACAGACTTTGATGGTTTAGTCATTACAGGTGATTTTAATGTACATGTGGATAATGTGTGTGACAAAAATGCCAAAGAGCTTAGTGTTGTCCTTGAAACTTTTGGTCTGACTCAGCATGTCAGTGAGCCCACTCACAACAGAGGACACACTCTGGACCTGCTCATTACAAAGGGTGTAAATATTTCAAATGTCAGTGTGGTTGATGTTGCTCTGATCATTTCTGTGTCTTCTTTGACCTGTCTGTTATTCCCAAACCACCGGCTGCTCCTACAGTTGTTCGAAGAAGACACATAAATGATAACACAGGTGCACTGTTCATGGAAATGATACATTTTGAAATTGCCTCATGTTCTAATGTTGATGATGTGTTGAACTCTGTGACTTTGAGTGTTTTGAATGTTCTGGATGCCATCGCTCCGATAAAGGTTAAAATGGTTAAAGATAGGCAAAAAGCTCCGTGGAGGAATGATGACTCAGTCAGAGCACAGAAAAGGGAGTGCCGGAAGGCTGAGCGGAAATGGCGCAAGTCAAACCTCCAGGTTCATTATGAGATTTACAGAGGAACAATGCATATGTACAGCTACACTTTGAGTAAAACAAGAGAGAAGTATTTTTCGGACATTATTGGTAATTGCAGTAACAACTCTTGTGTCCTGTTTGCAACAGTGAACAGATTAACAAACCCTCCAGCTCCACTGCCACTAGAACTAATTTCCACATCTAAATGTAATGAGTTTGCAGTTTTCTTTAATGACAAAGTTCAGGGCATCAAAAATGCCATCAATTCCACAACACAAATAACAAGCATGCAGCCACAGAGACACTTAGAGCTGAATCACTTTGCACCTGTAACTGACAAAACTGTTTTAGAGATCGTTACCAGTCTGAGTTCATCTGCTGATTGGACATGTTACCCACTTGATTTCTAAAGTCCGTCCTCAACAGTTTACTTTCACCACTCACTCACATAGTTATTAACATGTCACTTCAATCTGGAACATTCCCAAACACGTTGAAAACTGCGGTCATTAAGCCTCTCCTAAAGAAGAGCAGTCTTGATGCCACAGTACTGAACAATTTCAGACCCATCTCAAATCTGCTGTTTTTTGGCAAAGTCCTTGAAAAAGCTGTTTACCAACAGCTTACGAACTTTCTCCAAATGAACAACTTCTTTGATGTTTTCCAGTCAGGTTTTAGAGCCTCCACAGCACTGAGACTGCTCTTATCAAGGTGACAAATGACATCCACCTGAACACTGATGCAGGCAAAGTCTCAGTCTTGATCCTGTTAGATCTGAGTGCTGCTTTTGACACTGTCGATCATGGGATCCTCTTACAGAGACTAGAGGACTGGGTGGGCATCTCTGGTACTGTACTAAACTGGTTCAAGTCCTATCTAGAAGACAGGAAGTATTTTGTTAAAATTGGAAACTGTGTCTCAGATCACATGGCCCTGACCTGTGGGGTGCCTCAGGGGTCAATCCTGGGCCCCCTGTTGTTCAATCTCTACATGTTGCCATTAGGCCAGTTAATAAGCAGCAATAACGTGTCCTACCACAATTATGCAGATGACACTCAGATCTACGTCTCTCTGGCAGCAGGAGACTATGGACCAGTGGACTCACTTTGTCACTGCATCCGACAGATCAGTGTGTGGATGCAAAACAACTTTCTCCAGCTAAACTCTGACAAGACTGAAGTCATAGTGTTTGGTCCACAGAAACAAAGGGACAGTGTCAGAAGTCACCTCCAGTCTCTCTCTCTAAAACCTTCAAATCAGGCAAGAAATCTAGGGGTAATAATGGACTCAGACTTGAACTTTAACAGCCACATCAAATCAATAACATCTGCAGCCTTTTACCATCTAAAAAACATAGCAAAAATCAAAGGTTTACTGTCTAAAGCAGACTTGGAAAAACTTATCCATGCGTTTGTCTCCAGTAGGTTAGATACTGTAATGGTCTGCTCACTGGTCTCTCCAAACGAGCTGTGAGACGCTGCAGAACATCCAGAACGCTGCAGCTCAGGTCCTTACTCGAACTAGGAAGTACAAGCACATAAGTCCTGTGCTCAGGTCTCTGCACTGGCTCCTGTGGCTCAGCGAATAGACTTTAAAGCAGCTCTGCTTGTGTACAAGTCTCTCCATGGCCGAGCACCAAAGTCCATCTGTGACATGTTAGTGTCATATGAACCATCTCACACTCTGAGGAGCTCAGGGACCGGCCTCCTGCTGGTGCCCAGAGTCACGACTAAACAAGGGGAGTCAGAGTTTCAGGTTCATGCAGCTAAAACCTGGAACAGTCTGAACATGTGAGACAGACTCTTCTGTGACGCTGTTTAAATCCAGGCTCAAAACAGTTCTGTTTAACTGTACAAATAACTGAAAGGTTTTCATTCTGCACTCTTCTCTCCAATTTATGTCCCTCTTTTTTAAATTTTAATCTTCATGATTATTTATGTTTTGATTTGTTTTTATTATGATTTTAATGTATTTCTTATTCTGTAAAGCACTTTGAATTACTTTGTGTACGAATTGTGCTATACAAATAAACTTGCCTTGCCTTAACCAGCTGTGGTATCTAAAAACAAATCGTATTTATGAAGGACGTTCTTGCTGTGAGGAGGAAGAGCTACCTTCTGCACCTTCATGTTGCCCAAAGTTGTGGACAGTCACTGTTGAGCTTCATATGTCTGTCTCTCTATGTAACTCCTGATGGTTCACATTAAAACTTTACTTTCTGATCTCTGTGGTGCAGGGCAGATGTCACCCCAGATAACCCGCTGTGGGTGGGGGCTTGGTGGATCGGGTTCCTGGGCGGAGGAGCGCTGGCTCTGCTGGTGGCCATCCCCATCCTGGGCTATCCCCGAGAGCTGCCAGGTAACAAAGACCCTGTGACTCCAACTGCACCGTAACAAACAGCCGGTAACTAGAACACACTAACAACCATAAACACACTAACAACCATAAACACACTAAGAAATTCTCCAGAGTACTGAAGCAGAGTGTGTCCTCTATCCTTTGTCCTGTTGTTGGATCTGTCTCCAAAAGTCTATTATTGTCCAATATGAAGAGATGAAACTGGTCCAAGTCCCGGTCCACTCAGGTCTGCGATGCAAGGTCCAGGAGTTCAGTGCACCAGGTGGTCTTAAATCTAGTCTTAATCCTACTTAAATCTGAAAATTATCCATATTAGACTAGGGCTCCAGGTAGACTTCAACCCTCCGCGCACTACCCCCAGGTGAAACTTTTTCGCCCAGAAACAAGTGGACAGAGTGTGACAGAGCAGCGAGCTCCCAGCGATAAATAAAGGATGTAATCGATATCATCACATCGACTAGGTGAAATGTGTAGTGTGAACTGTCATATGTTGTGCATTATAATGAGTGAGTGCTCTGTGTTCCAGGCTCCCAGGAGACCACCGCCATCCGTGTGTCCGAGGCTCATCAGGGGAAAGAGGGAAACCACACGTCCACATCGGACCCTCAGTTTGGGAAGACACTCAGAGACATGCCACGGTACTACTCATGCTACATTTATTGAAAAAGAAAGGGGAAAAAAAAACACAAAAGTGATTTAAACAGCACATTTTCAGGAGCCTGGGATCAGTACGAGCGTTCAGGGTTCTGTAGTTTTTCACAAATACATTGTAGTTCATTTCTTTATGGTATATCCATTTTCTTCCTCTTTATCTGGGGTGGGGTTGCAGAGATGTCCAGACATCTTTGGATTGTGGTGAGACTGAAACTTTCTTGTGAGTTTATGATGTGAAACTCCTGCCCCTTCATCTCAAACAGGGATTACGCTCAGATTATGATCATTATGTCACAGGATTATGGGAATCCCTCAATCAGGAATGACTCCAGGACATTAAAATGTGCAGATAAGTTGACTTAAGAGAGTTGTTTTGATTAATTGTGCAATACTTGTTTTGACTCTATGTTTAACCATGTCTGAATCATAAATGAGTGCGTACACATGCACATCAATAACCCGGTTATTAGCCATATCCCGGTTATGTCAGTATTCGGATTACTGCGTATACATGCGCACTGAGAAACCGGGACACTCATATTCGCGTATACATGATCAAATGGAATATCCCAGTTTCTTGACATAATCTTACAAATGCGCAGGCGCGAAAATTTACTTAAATCAATTTCATAAACCAGGAAAAATACAAACCGTGAGCTCCTTTAGCATAAGAAGCTAAGGAGCTACGAGATCTCCCACAATCCACTGTGCAGATTCTTCATTAAAATCTTCTGCATAAATAAACTCAACTTTACAACATATAAACCATAAACACTATAGAGCTACATCAGCCCGTTTGATCATATAATTCAGCTGTGATCACATTTGTTTACGTTTTACAGAAACGAAACTTAAGACAGTTTGGCTAATTAGCATAAACTGTTAGCGGCGATAAAAACAACTCGCTCCTTGCGCCGCTGATGTGATCAGTTTCTTTTGGACTAAAGGACACGACTATGTGGATTATGTGTGTTATTTCTGTGACAGAAGAGGCGCTAATGATGGTAAGTGTGTTCCGTGCATATAGAGTATAGGAGATCATGTTTTAGTTTTTCAGCGTCACACGAGTGCAGATTGTACATGTGCAGGTTTAGCGCAGCTCTTTATTTTACAGTCATTTCACTCGTTTGGTCACTTTATTTATGTTGGTCAATTTATTTATGTCACTACTGTTATGGTGAAAGACTGGAAAGTGTCTTTTGGACGCACGTGCACTCAACTTTATGTTGTAGTAACCGGGGTACTGCGTATACATGCCACAAGTAACCCGGTTACTATCGGAATAAACCAGCTACAGTAACCCGGTTTCTAATAACCGGGATACTGCCATAACCGGGTTACTGAAACCGGGTTACTGCGTATACATGCACCATCAAGAAACCGGGATACTCAAAAAACCTGATCATAACCGGGTTATTGATGTGCATGTATACGCACTCACTGACTCGTTCAGGCGGCGGTGTCACAATCGTGTCCAGCGCCTCTAGTGTTTGCGATGTTCATTTTGACATTAACTTTTCAGTGCTGTCAACACACTCTTGCGCAGCTTCTTCAATACGTTCAAAGCAGAGTACAGTAAATTATTTCTTTACTCCACACTGTGATGTGAGATTTTTCTGTAGCCACAGCTGCCCTGGGGCAAATTAACCACATTCATACTAGGCAAGGTGGGCAAAGTGTCTTACTACACTTTCTCCGTGGAGATATTATTGCTTTGTCTTGGATGTTTCACACTATGATATTAAACCTTTTTATTTTCATGGAGACCAAACCAGACCAATTTACAGGTCAGATCTCTGTAGAGGCGACCCCACTCACAGTCAGAATGTCTTTTTAGGCAGTAAAACCACCTGTAATTGAATAAAAATAAGGCAGAGTTGTTTCATACTGTGGAATATTTCAGGCAGATCAATGATACCTTCACAGAAATAAATTATATTTGATGGAAACTTCCCCAGAAAAGTTACACAGTGCACCTTTTAGGATAAAATGATATAGTATGCACTTGTCCAAGCAGGGTTCAAGCTGTCAAACCTTCAGTGGTCGAACACACTAACCACTGAGCCACTGCTGCCGGCTCAGCTACATAATGTGAGACAGTTGTATTAGATTTGTGTAAATGTGTTTACAGACATATAAATAGGCCTGTAACGATAACAGATTTTGCTGGACGATTAATTGACCAAGAATTTATTGCGATAAATGATAATTTTGAGACCAATTTCAACTATTATAATAACAATGGAATAAAAATGCAAATACACTCTTTCAAAGATCAATAAACCTTACTTTCTAAAGAACATTTAACACAGGAACTGTAAGACAACCAAAAACAATAGGCCTAAATAAAACAGACTTGTTAACATAGGACTAGCCTAATGTAATTGACTTACATTGGTAAATTGTGTCTTGTCTCTCTGTGGCTGCTGCTGTGACCTCGTCATTTTGGTCATTTAAATGTTCGTATGAACCCGTGACACAGGATGTTATTTCACTATGAGGGAGTCTCTGTCCTGTCTGGTGTCGTGTCAGTGTCTTGTGGGATTTCAGGTTCTCCTGGGGGCGGGGCTAGTTCTGTCACTCGGGTATTGGTTTATCGGCTGTTGGGGTTTGATACATTTCTTCTCATCGTTTGCGCACTCGCTGCATTTGACGCACATGGCTGTTGAGACGTGTGTTGATTCGGCATAGTGACTTGTTTTGTCACACGGAGATGAACTGTTTTGTCACTATGACAGTGGTGCTAACTTGTGTTGCGGCTTCATGTTAGCCGCACAGACAGTGGCACTTTCTGCACTCAGGCTCCACGCACATCTTCAGTGTTGATAAACACAGTGGATGTTGGTTCAAGCGTCATTACACTTAGACGATAGAAACCTTCTCACATTCAGTCTTTTTGAGAGCGACAAAGAACGAGGAAAACAAACAAGCTGTAAATAGAATTTATCGCATCCAGAAAAGTTATCGAGCTTGTTAAAAGTTATCGTACGATTAATTGATTTATTGATTATCCTTACAGGCCTACATATAAATAAATTGTAAAAACTCTGTGCATCTTAAGGACTCTTATTATTAGATTAGGTCTTCAATATTTTTGTGTGTGCAGATGTGTTCTGATGCTGCTGAAGAACCCCACCTTCCTCTTCCTGTGTTTGGCCGGAGCCTCAGATGCGAACCTGATCGCCGCCATGTCCACGTTCGGCCCCAAGATCCTTGAGTCACAGTTCAGCCTCAGCGCTTCGAAGGCAGCCGCCATCTTTGGTAGGTCTCACATAGTATCAGAGTCACGTGGGACACTTGACTCTACACTTTGTTGCTGGTTGGTTGGGTCAGAGTTCTCAGGTGTAGTTTGCTCTGTAACTGTCTGTTTAATGTGTTAACGTCAGTAAAAAAATGTAAAAGTCCTCCAGGTACGGCCCAGTTTAGCAGCTCTATGTAAAATGCTGTGGACAGAGTTTAGGTTTTTAGTCCCACTTTAATTGTGTATGAAATTTCCTCTACAGTAACTTTGCCTTAACCTAAATCTCTGGACAGAGCTCCGCCCCGCTCACCTCTTCTGTTCCGTAGGTTCGTTGGTGGTCCCGGCTGGAGGAGGGGGCACATTTTTGGGGGGGTATATCGTGCAGAGGTGTGACCTACGATGTCGTGGAATCATTCGTTTCTGTGCGGTCTGCTGTTCGCTCAGTCTGCTCTCCGCCTTTGTCTTCTTTGTCCACTGTCCTGATGTGTCCATGGCGGGTGTCACTGCTCCGTACGCAACCCAGCAAATGAGCTCTGATTTGGGGGAGACGCTCTGGAGCTCCATCTCCTCCACCAGCACTCCAGCCAACAGGTCAGACTACTGCTCTGTTTTCAGCCCTCTGTACAGTAGGATTGTCAAAAATATTGAAAATCTGATAAAAAAAAATGATACTAAAACTATTATTGAAACTAGGAATTCATTTGAGTAGTTATCAGTACTAAAAACGTCACATTCGCAGGACAGAAATGAACCTGTATGGGTGATATATTGGTTAAAACAGTATGTAAACGGTATGTTTACATACTGTATTGAGTATCATATGTATTCCTTATTATCAAAATCAAGTTTGAAATGTTGGATATGGATATCAATATGTGTGTGGAATTTCTGTTTACGAGGCCAAGACACTCTGTTCAAACAGTTCCATAATACATTAGTAATGATAAGGGAGACCGGTGACAGCACAGCTGTGGATTTGCCTGTAGAAGTTCCCTCTGAACTAGAAATAGGTGGTATTTAAACAAATTTCCAGCAGTTTTGGTCAGGTGAAAGTTTAGTTCTCTTTTCTAGCTTGGTGTCCTGCAGTATTCTCCTTCTTGCTGCCTCCACTGCTACTGATGTAGGGATACAAGTAGGGCTGTCGCGGTTAGAGAATTTTTCCTGCGGTGCAGTATAGAGGCTCAATAGTGCGATATGCGATGATATCGCATCCCCTCCCCCACCCCACATCCCCCCAGAGTTACAATATTTCCAGCCGCACTGAAAACTCTCTCTGATGATGCGCTTGTTTCGCAGATGCACATGTACCTTGGTTGTTGTGTGAATATAACATGTGTAGTGTGGGAGAAGTAACATTTGGCTTTGGAACAAGTGCTGCTGCATCTCTCCTGCTCTCACTGTGGCAGCTCAGGTCAGAGTCCTGCGCCAAGTCGGGTACCTGTGGACTTAAGAGAGAGAGCCCCTAGCAAGAGCACACGGAGCATGTGTCCGCAAAGCACGATCGGGTGATGGCTGCGTTTACCTCCGTGCAGCGCGGAGCTGCTGCGGTCCTTTCGCCTGCGGTCATTGCGACAGCCTTAGATACAAGTGAAAGAGAGAGGAGAAGAGAGGTCACATCAAAGGACACCATTGTCTGGCCGGGTCAAACTGGAGATGCTTGATTGTGTTAACAAATTCTGCTGCTCCGGGCCATTCCTTTGAGGATAGTGAGGTTCAGATTTTAGCCTCAGACATCATTTGTCTCCCATCTACAACTCCATCCTAAAACCTAAAACAAAGAGAACAATTAGGGTAGCCAGTTCAGGGCCAGCGGTATGAAAGCACCCATCAGGGGCCTGAATGATTCTGTGTGACCCCACACTCAGTGCAAATGAATAGGCCTAGCTAACAAACAAAGTGTAAACAAGTGGGTGTGTTAGTTTCAGAGTAGTTCCAATATATTTAGCTCCTCCCTTCAGGCAAACATAAGGCAGTGTAAACTCATCCAAGCAGCTTGGATGAGTTGTCATGGATTCTACCTGGATGACTGAGGGTTTTTACACACATCTTGAGTACAGTGAAGGATGTGTGGAAGCAGACCTTCACATGTGTTGTTCTCCTCGTGTCCACAGCTCCTCTGTGGATGAGCTCACAGCTCAGTGTAACTCCAACTGCAGCTGTGACACACACTTCAGCCCAGTGTGTGGAGCAGACCATGTCGTGTACTTCTCTCCGTGCTACGCTGGCTGCACCTCCACCAACCTCACCTCAGATGGAAAGGTACTTAACATGTCTTTAAAGGCACACTGTGTCACTTTTCTAGTGGTCAGAGTTGTCTCTAGATACCCTGGGGGCCCTAGGCAAGAGATAGTCCAGTGCTGTCGGTGCTTTAATTATACACTTACAGTATCCATCATGCTCTTTTAACACTGTTACTGTATAACTCAAGCAAAGACAAAACTTGCATGCTTCTACTGTGCGTGGGCTGCTTGTCTCCATGGAGATAGATAGGTAATGCCATACAGTGGAACATTCCAGGCCAAGCAATAGAGTATCCAGGAAGACAAGTTCCAGTAAAGTTTAACAGTGCAATTTCAGTCCTCTTTTAGCATTTTCAGGCTGGCAAAGAACCATGCCAGTGCCGGTTCCCGCATCTAATCTTGAGACAAGTGATGCGTTCACAAAATCAGATTGTTCAGGAAGTGAAAAGTTGGTTCCCAACGGGAAACAAGTAAAACTTGAACCAGTAGTAGCTTTTGAGAACTACACCTCCCTGTGTGTCAGGTGCCCTCTCCTGTGTGTCAGATGCCCTCCTTGTGTGTCCATGTTACTTTATCCTACAGTGGAAGAAATAAGTATTTGATTTCTTGCTGATGTTGTAGGTTTGTCCATTGTTAAAGAAATAAAGTGAATGAAGTCTATAATTTTAGTAGTAAGTTTATTTTAACACTGAGAGATAAACTATCAAAAAGAACATCCAGAAAAGCACATTATAGAAAATATATTACTAGACTTGCATTTCATTGTGTGAAATAAATATTTGATCCCCTACCACCCATTAAGAGTTCTGGCTCTCACAGATCAGTTAGACACTCCTAATCAACTCGTCACCTGAATTAGATGCCTGTTTTATAGTCACCTGTATAAAAGACACCTGTCCACAGAATCAGCCAGTCAGTCAGACTCCAAACACTCCAACATGGGCTGTCAGAGGACGTCAGGGACAAGACTGTAGACCTGCGCAAGGAATCAGCTACAAAACTATAAGCAAGAAGCTGGTGTTAAGGAGACAGCTGTTGGTGCAACTGTTTGAAAATTTAAGAAATACATAATGACCATCAATCGGCTTCGATCTGGCGCTCCACACAAGATTCCACCTCGTGGGGTTTCAGTGATCATGAGAACATTGACAAATCAGCCTAAATACACAGGAGGAGCTGAACAACGATCTGAAGGCAGATGATTGGTAACCACTGGTAACACTTTACACTGCAGTGGATTAAAATCCTGCAGTGCTCCAAGGTCCCCCTGCACATGTGCAGCTCACCTGAATTTTGCCAGTGAACACCTCAATGATTTAGAAAGGGACTGGGAGAAGGTGCTGTGGTCAGATGAGACCAAAATCAAGCTCTTTGGCATTAACTCAACTCACCGTGTTTGGAGGAAGAGAAATGCTGCTTATGACCCTAAGAACAACTTCCCCACTGTCGAGCATGAAGGTGGAAACATTCTGCTTTAGGGTGTTTTTCTGCCAAGTGCACAGGACAACTTCACCACATCAACGGGAAGATGAATGGAGCCATGTGCTGTTAGAATCCTGAGTGACAACCTCCATCCCTCTGCCAGAAAACTGAAAATGGGTCATGGATGGGTCTTCCAGTATGACAATGACCCAAAACATACAGCCAAGGCAACAAAGGAGTGTCTCAGGAAGAAGCACATTAAGGTCATGGAGTGGCCCATCCAGTCTCCAGACCTTAACCCTACAGAACACCTCTGGAGGGAGTTGAAGTTTCAAGTTGCCAAGGTGACAGCCATGAAACTAAGTACTAAGTCTTTTTTGCCTCAAGGGTTCAAATACTTCTGAATTTTCTTTTTAACTCTTTCCCCCTTGGACACCAACTAGGAACAACCCATACATATATGACTAGAGCTGCCCATAGAGCATAACTGCATAAAGAAAAAGACTTCCACGAGTGATTATAAATGATTTTCACACTCATGAACTTAATTGAAACACAGACATATTTAGTATCTCTGGAAACCTTAGATGTGATTCAACTCATTTACAGGTTTAGAACAGCTCACTGAAAATGAGAGTTGACCTGGTCAGGTGCAAAATCGAAAACAAAAAAACTACATTCAGCATCTGATATATACATGTTCTGAAAACTATATTCATTAAAAAAATGTAAAAATATATTTGTCAAAGTATTTAAACAGACTTCATATCACCAGATACAGTATAACCAAGTGTGCACCTGTTTTTACCTGTTGTTCACCTGTGTGCACCTAATTAGTTTTTTCCATTTAACTTATTCAAATCATTTAACTTATTATAATATAATAATAAAACTCTTCCCCGTCAGTGTGTGTCCAGTATTTGTCATGTTGGTTACTTTCTCGTGCACAGAGCTCCACATAAGTGTTTGTTTCTGTAGTATTCTGTCATACATCACATCTTGGAAAAAAAGACAGAAATATTTTAAAGGACTCGTCTGAGCAACATCCAGATTTTGGGGCAATTTTGGTTCATAATCGAGTATAAAGTCCGGATAGTTTGTTTGGATATCGCAGGACTCCATACACACGCATCAGCGGCATTCTCACCTTCGTAAGTTTCACTCTCTGAAAGTCCGTCGCTATTGTTTTTTTTCCACTTTATAATCAACTTCATCATCACTTTGAAATCTATAAAAGTCACTTTCTCTAAACTTACCCATAAAATAAACCCACTCCTCATCATTTCTAAAACTGTGCGCCACAACGCTGCAATATTTCCATTGCACGTGTTTTGTTTTTTCCGGAAGCTACAATCGTCACTACTTTGATTAACTTTAGAAAAAATCTGCGAAAACGTATCCTGGAATCCTATTGGTCAGCCTAGTATCGGTTGTAGTGGCCCCCACCTATCACAGCGTTTGTTTACATGTGAAAAACTGAGCCGTTTCTAATGGTCGTCAAAGCGGAGGTGTCAAAACACGTCATTAAGGAAACAAGGGGGGTCGTCAAATGTCGTCTCATGGGGGAAAGAGTTAATGTTCTATCTCTCACTCTTAAAATAAACCTACCATTAAAATTATAAACTGCTTCTTTGTCAGTGGGCAAACCTACAAAATCAGCAAGAGGCCAAATGCTTATTTCCTCCACTGTATGTAAAAGCTGTAGTTTAGACCTCTGCAAACCACAGTCCATGAGATTGTTGGATTAGTGTCAAGATTTGCGTCTCTCTTATGTGCTGATGTTTGTGGGCGGCTCTTATTGACGTGGAATACTGTGTGCTGGTCTGTTTGCAGGTGTACAGCGACTGTTCGTGCATCGCGGCTAACAGCTCGCGTGGATCGTTAGCGTTAGCGGGGAAATGCAGCACCGAGTGTCCCTACATGTCGCTCTTCCTCGCTGTCTTCTTCTTCTGCATCCTCTTCACTTTCCTCACCAGCATCCCCGCCATCACTGCCACCCTCAGGTCAGTCAACGCTGGAAATTGCCCACTTTCATTTTGAACGTACTTTCAAGCAGTAAAATATATAGGTTTTTTTATAATATAAGAGTCATTACCCAATAAAACGAGCTACATATTTTGCTGATGTAGCCACATTGCTGCAGCTAAAACTATTATCAGAATTCAAATGTGGACAAATGCAGCAAACTGAACAGAATCAATCCGTGTATCATTCGTTCATTCGTTTTTCAATATAAAACCAAAAATAAGAAAACAAAAAAACTATTTTCTTCATTATTTGTCTCCAAAACCAAAATGAAAAAATCAGATAATGATTTGTTTTTTCAGTTTTCAATTTTGTGTTTAAATGAAAAATGGAAAAAATGGATAACGTTTCCCGTTTACGTGACTTCCATGACTACAATTCTGGACTTTTGCACCGCATACGGATTGAACCAGGACTGATCCAGGTCCGGGACCAGACCAGGACCAGAGTGGGACCAGAGCAGACTCCGAGCTTTGACTCTGAGCCTCCGCGGGGTCCGAGAATCAGCTTCGAGCTCCGGCCCTGCCGTGGGCTCTGAGCCTCAGGTCTGGTCCTGGTCTTAGTCCCGGTGTCAATCTCGGTCTGGTCCTGGTCTGGTCTTGGTCTCAATCCCGCTCTGGTACTGGTGTGGTCCCAGTTTCAGTTCTGATCTCAGTCTCGGTCTGGTCTCGGTCTGGTCTCAGTCTCGGTCTGGTCCCGGTTTCAGTTCTGATCTCAGTCTCGGTCTCAGTCCTGCTGTGGTTCCGGTCTGGTCCCGGACCTGGATCAGTCCTGGTTCAGTCCGTATACGGTGCAAAAGTCTGGCATCGCAGTCACGGAAGTCACGTAAACGGGAAACGGCCGTTATCCGTTTTTTCCTTTTTTCATTTAAACACAAAATCGAAAACTGAAAAAACAAATCGTTATCCATTTTGTCATTTTGTTTTTGGAGACAAATAATGAAGAAAACAGTTGTTTTTTCGTTTTCTTATTTTTGGGTTTATATTGAAAAACGGATAAACGAATGATACACGGATTAGGATCTCTTTATGGCAGGAGTCTTCAACGTTTTTCAGGCCAAGGACCCCAAAACTGATTTAGAGCTGGAGCAGGGACCCCCTACTATACGTATATATGGCATAAAATGGTGTTTGATATTAAATTGGGCCTAGTGTCGTGTATAAACAGCTGCTCTGTTATTGTACATTCAATACTAGGGAGGTATGCCATCAAATTCGCTTAACAGGTGAGTTGGGTCCCATCATAACCTTGTCCAAAGCACAGTCTGTACAAACAAGGGCACTGGACTTTTGTATTTGCATGTGTTGCCTGCCCTAAGAGAACAACTTTAGTCCTTATAATAAAACACCACGATCATGTAGAGTGGGTTAATACAAACATTTTAAGACAAAAATCACGAGGCTCACTGAGCAGTTACAGAGAGAGCGGAGACAATACTCCAATGTAAAGTCAGTTGGAGTCGATGGAGCTAGAAGTGCGTCCGTGCTCACTTCTCGTTTGGAACGCAGTCGTTAGCTTTGTCCATGTGTATAGACAGTACACAACAACACAAGGACACAACAGTTTTTTCCACAGCGCCCCACTGTTGCATGTCGTATTCCCAGTGGTCTCCCATTCAAGTTCTAACCAGGCTCAGCTCTGAAGCTTCTGAAATCTGACGAGCTCAGGCTTTGACAATGAGGTTGGACACATAAAGACACTTGTGAACACATTTGATGTGTAGAAGCATTAATTTGTATTCAGACTGCATCATGTTCATGATGGTGTTCATGTTCAGTGCTGTAGTGAAGTGTCTCTCATGTGGAGCTTTCGTCTGTTGCAGGTGTGTGACAGAGAAACAGAAGTCTTTTGCTCTTGGGATTCAGTGGATTCTCGTGCGCACTCTGGGTGAGACTCTTCTCTTTTTTAAATGCACACTGCGTAACTTTTCTTGTACATGTGGGTTTATTGGGGCGGCAGTAGCGCAGTTGGTAGAGCATTTGCCCACTGATCTGAAGATTGGCGGTGCGATTCCAGCTTTCGACATAAAAAAAAATAAAAAATAATAATAATAATCATCACAAGTTGAGTGGTCAGATCCACTGACCCACAGGTTTGCTGGTGTGATTCCAGCTCCCACAGATGAATGCTTTTGTTGTGTCCTCAGGCAAGACACCTTGCCCACAGTGTCTGTGTACATTGGTGTGTGAATGGGTGAGTGGTTTCTTGATGTAAAGTGCCTTGAAGGTTGAAAAGTGCTATAGAATTGTGACCATTGCTAAAAATAAATAAGTGTGAGTGGGTTAGCTCTCCACAGAACTGAACTGTAACTTGGTCTGGTGGTGTCAGCTGCTTGTTTCCTTGGAGACAGACTATGAAACATTTCTTGCAAAGCAAGAACATCCCACCAGAAAAGTTGCATAGTGCCTCTTTAATTCCACTGTTCATCCTCACGTTGTCAATACCTGGAGACTGATCGATGGCGACAGTGACACAGATCCTCTTCTGGAGGTAACAATACTGCAGAAACAGAGGATGCACTCAAACCTTTTCTCAACAGTTTCAGAATGGCCTTGGTCGTTATCAGAACATGATCTTACCAAATAAACAGGGTCTAAAGTTATAAAGAGTGTTCCTCTTTCCACTTTTTCCTCATTTTACCTCAGTAAAAGCTTTTTCTCTTTTTCTCTCCTCCCTCACCCACTTCCCTCCTTCTCCTCTCACCTCTTTCCTTCTCACACTCCTCTTTTCCCTTTATCCTCCCTCTCTTTCTTTTATCCTTCTTTCACTTTGTTTTTTTTCCCTTTCCCTCTCTCCTTCCTTCCCTCTCTCTTTTCTCTACACCTCTTTCACTTTGTTTTCTCTCCCTCTGTCTCAGGTGCCATCCCCGGGCCCATCATCTTTGGTTTTATGGTGGATCGCTCGTGTTTGCTGTGGCAGAACAAATGTGGAGAGCAGGGCTCATGTTTCCTGTATAAAAACACAGACATGAGTCGCTTCACACTCATAGCAGGAATCATCTATAAGGTAAACATCTGCATTCATAGAGTAAAGAGACAATAGGGAGAAGCAGAGTATGCTAATACAGTGGAGGAAGTATTTGATCTCTTTCTGATTTGTAGGTCTGCCCACTGACAAAGAAATGAACAGTCTATAATAACCTGATTTGCATTTCATTGAGTGAAATATTGATAATATTTAACCCTCTAGCCAAAAAAAAAGACGTAGTACTTGGTTGCAAAACCCTTGGGTCTTATTCATGAATCTTTTCTTTAAAAAAGTTTGTGACTTTAGACGATGTAGAGAAATGTCTGTGCCACATTCACAAAGAGTTCTTACACATCTAAATTCCTTTTTAAGAGACAGTTGCACCGAATTCACCAACATCCAGCTACGAACACGCTCCTCCACGCACATTTACATTGAATTCACATAGAAAATGAATATGTATTTGGTTAGAAATGCCCTCTGAACTTCCAAATATGGCATGTGGGTTTGGCATTCTGACACGTGAAAGTGTGAGGAGAGAGTGATGAGGAGGTCAGGTGAAGCGTCTACAGACTACGACTGTTTTACAGCTTCAGCGCTGATTTCAAATGTCCAAACTCACACGAACACACTCAGGGAGAAAGAGTTAAGTCAAACTTTTGTAAATTTAGTAAACTTATTGAAATAAGCGGGCCCTTTAGTCATATTTATCGTGCTTTCTCCGATCACGGACCCGCGGTAAATAGTGAGGGAGGGGGGCTGGGGTGGGGGTGCATAAGAGTGTGCGCTGGTCTTGGGGGGTCAGGGGGTGATGGGGGGTCAGGGCGGTGATGTTGGTGTTGAGTCCAGTGCAGTGAGCAGGTGCAGGGCTGTGACAGAGGCTCATATGGAGGCACTGGGGCTGGGACAGACTGAGTCTCACTGCTCCTGGAGAAAGTCTGTTTGACCAAATACACACAGACTCTAGAAAACAGCTCATAAATGTTATTGGATCACATAGTCATATGTTTATAGGAGAAAATTTAAGAAAATATATCACTTACAATCATGGAGGAATTAGAATTTTTGGTTGCATTATCAGAGTAATAATATTCTAAAACAGTAGATTTTTTGTTCTAATGAGTCCTGACTCTGTGTAGTCTATATATAGTTTGAAAAATTATCACGTCATTATGTTCTTAAAATGTTTGTATTAAACCACTCAACATGATCCAGGTGATTTTATTTTGCTATTTTGTTAATAATAAATTTCTATTCCTAATGTATAGGTGAGTTTCAGCTGACGTCATTGTTATTAAAAGCCCGTGTTGCATGCTGGGAATATTTTCATCGGAGGCAAGAAACAGGATAGCGTCAAACACAGTGCGTAACCTCGCGTATTTCTCCCCGATAATGGTAAATTCCTGCTGCATTATCGGATGCACAAATAGAAGCACGGAAGAAGGAAAATGTCTTTTTCGTATTCTGAGTGAAAAGAACCACTAACGGTGAATTAAACGGCTTTCAAACATTCGCAGAGCAAACGTAGAAGATCCTAACAAACCGTGAACTCCAACAAGTTCAACAACACATCGAGACTCTTGGAGGTTTTCATCTTTTCTGCTGTGAATGGCCCAGGAGTTTCCACCAAGTCATTGTGGATATCACCAAAGTGAATATTTGTCCAGGTAGTTCGCGATTCAGACCAGAAATTTGGTTTGGTCCAGGCTCTGTCAGGGTTGAAAAGGGTGATTTGGCTCCGTCGATGCTTATGACCAATTTCTGGTCAAATGGTCTTGGGTCCTCTGCCGTTAGAGTGGAGAAATAACCAGGATCAATACCCTTTACGTGCTTTCTGGCTCCGTCCGTCTTGTTGAATTAGTGTTTCTTGCCGCCGACCAAAATAATTCCCAGCATGCAACGCGCGCTTTTGTCAACAATGAAACTCGCCTATAATGTGGCTCCAAATTCACCCCTATAACTGCTGGCCACTGTGAGCTTCATTTGACTGGAGCTGAACGATGTGGGTGATGTCACACTCGCTTATTCCACTTCTTTATCAATCTATGATCAACCCAAAATATAAATATAATAAATATAAATATAACTACACAAAGAAACTGCAAACATTTGAAAAAAGAAAATACACTTTATATGTTTTTGTTTTTGTAGTGTCGTCTTTGGTGGTTTATTTCACATTCTTATTCTTATACATTTCTCACGTCTCTGCAGATTTTGGCGACGGTGTTGTTCCTGTTGGCCAGTTTGGTGTACAGAGCTCCGCCTGACTCTCCTCACAGCAGCACCACTGACCCAGGGACCACAGACCTCACCTGCAAGACTCCTCCACCAGAGGGCATCATAGTCAACAGACACGCCAGGGACCACTAGAGACTGCTGCACACCAACTACCACAGGGAAAATACACCTTGAACTCAGAATATTGATTGTTTTATTCATTTAGTTTTTGTTTCATGGAGTTTTAATGATTAATGATTTAATACATTTAATAATTACAGGTAGATTTGTGCCCTTGCTTTCTTTTTTTTTTCTCATTTCAAGCAAAAATACACAACCAGTTTAAACTTATGACACACTTTTCATTCATGTTTTTTTTACTATCAGGATGATTCACACTGTAGTTTCTCACTGAAGACATCAAAACTATGAATGACATGTGGAATGTAGTAAACAAAAAATATTCAAAATAACTCCAAACGTGTTTTAGATCTAAAAATTAAAACCGATCCTTAACAATCCGTGTATCATTCGTTCATTCGTTTTTCAATATTAAACTGACTGAACCGGGACTGATCCAGGTCCGGGACCATACCGGGACCAGACTGGGACCAGAGCGGGACCAGAGCGGGACCAGAGCGGACTCCGAGCTTTGACTCCGAGCCTCCGCAGGGTCCGAGGCTCAGCTACGAGCTCTGGCCCTGCCGTGGGCTCTGAGCCTCCAGTCTGGTCTCGGTCTCAGTCCCGGTCTCAGTCTCGGTCTGGTCCCGGTCTGGTTTCGGTCTCAGTCCCAGTCTGGTCTCGGTCTGGTTCCGGTCTGGTCTCAGTCTCAGTCCCGCTCTTGTCCCGGTCTGGTCTCAGTCTCAGTCCCGGTTTGATTCCGGTCTGGTCCCGGACCTGGATCAGTCCTGGTTCAGTCCGTATGCAGTGCAAAAGTCCGGCATCACAGTCACGGGAGTCACGTAAACAGGAAACGGCCGTTATCCATTTTTTCCATTCTTCATTTAAACATAAAATCGAAAACTGAAAAAATGAATCATCAGTTTTCGGTTTGTTTTTTTTCATTTTAGTTTTGGAGACAAATAATGAAGAAAATAGTTGTTTTTTTCATTTTCTTATTTTTGGTTTTATGTTGAAAAACAAATGAACGAATGATACATGGATTCTTAACTCTTTGCTTTGAACACTGCTTTGCACTTTTGTCATTTATTGACCCTGAGGCACAGCTGTGAAGTGAAAACCATTTCAGGAGACTTCATCATGAAACTCATTGAGAAAAGGTTTGCATGTGTTGACAAAGCAAAGGGTGGATTTTAATATAAACAATAGACAAGTATTAAGTTGGGTTATTTCACTTATTTTTCTTTTCTACATAATTCCACACGTCTTGCTTCATATATTTGATGTCTTCTGAGTATGAGTAAAATGTAGAACGTGGTACAAAAGAAAATAACATTGATTGAAAAGGTGTGTCAAAGAGTTTCACGGCCACAACAAGATTATAATAGTCAAAGCTCAGTTACATTTACTTTAGCTTTTAAAGAAATTGTACTTCTTAGAGTCATTTTTTAGTGGCATACTTTTACTCAGACTTGTCAAATAATTTAATGCCATAGTTTGAAACATTACACACAGTGAAATTAATACTAAATGTAACTCTGAGCTGGTTGAAATGCACCATATTACAATCATTATTAATATCAATATTCTGAATTCAAGTCTTGCAGAAGTCCTTTATTGTAGATGTACTGTTCAATGACTGGCTCTGTTACAAAAACGCACATCCACATTGCCTTTACGCGATCATAGACAGAAACTGGAAAATGCTGCTAACACACGATGGGAAGTTTTGTGATTTGTATTATTCACGACCGTAAAGAGGGGGTATTCTGCTAAATGGACTTTTAGAGCTTTCTACCGTGTTATGATGTTAACTCATCCTAAAACATGCCTGAAAAGGTTTTTGAGGCCATCCATGCATGTTATCAAACGATCTCTCCCAGGTCTGTACAAGGCTCCACCCACAAGCCAACGTCACCCTTGCTCCAACACGACAGTTCTCCATAAATAGGCTATACAAAAGCATGATATAAAACTGTATTACAGTTGTCCCTCGCAATATCGCGGTTCACCTTTCGCTGTCTTTTTTTTACAGTGTATGAATGCATATTGTGTTCCTCTCGCTGCGTCCTGATTGGCTAAGGGACTCCTGTCTCCTGTACAGTACAGAATTCATTCAGCCAAATTTACATAACTGTTGGATCTCTAGCAGTGTGATTATGAAGTGCTGTATGTTTGCAAGTTTTCTCCCCGACAAAACCCACAATGTCAACGAAACTTTCTGCAATGATAGTGGCTCCTGCGGTCGCACCCAAAAGACAGAGGAAGAAGTAACCAGTGCACAAAAAGTTGGACTTTTGGACATGCTGAAGGAAGGGAAAAGTTACATGCTGTAGCAGAGTCTTGCACCGGGTCGGGTACGGGCGAGTAGTTGCTGAAACCAGGACTTAAAAGACAAAACCGCGAGCCCGCGCAGCAGGGTGTGCAATCAGGCTATGGCTGCGTTTGCCTTCGTGAGGTGCGGAGCTGAGCCGGTCCTTTCTCCTGCAGTCACCTCCGAGCCCGTCCAGACAATGAGTCGTGGTTCAGTTCTGGTTCAGTTCTGGTTTAGTTCTGGTTCAGTCCTGGTTTAGTCCTCCTCTTCAGTCCTGGAATCAGTCCTAGGTTAGTCCTGGGTTACTTCTGGGTTAGTCCTGGTTTAGTCTTGGTTCAGTCCATGGCTGCAGCACAGCAGTTTGATATAATCTCGGGTGCGGTGCTGTACTGCGCGGTGCAGAACTCTGTGCTGTAGGCTTCATTAAGGAATAAATTAATCTTCGGTTCGTTACATAAAGAAGGAGGAAAATAACAGCAGCAATAAGTTTTAAGAAGGATGTAAAAAGGGTTGTAACTGTCCTGTGTGAGAAAAGTGTATAAAGTTTGTGGTGAGAGGTTTTACAGCCTTAAAACAGATAAAATAATTGTAAAATATAAATTGACTACTTTGTGGAATTCACCTGTTGCGGGTTATTTTTAGAACGTAACTCCCGCGATAAACAAGGGATCACTGTACTTGCGATGTGCAGTTACGACATGCAGACTGATTGTAATGGTGCTCTGAAAGGGGTGTGGCTTAGTGCAGGGAGCAAAGAGATTGGAGACTCAGAGTGTCAAATAATTCGACATATTATGGTGATCTAAGTATGTTCCGAGTTCCAGTTCATAGCCCATAAAAGTGTAATACCCCCTCTTTAAAAAACGTTTGTCAGGGCAAGTGTCACTTTTAAGAACGAGCACAATTCTGAATCGAAGCAGCTCTTAATGTACTGTATGTCCAGAGATGTGCCAAAGGTTTTACTAGCGTGTTTATTCATGCACAATGCTGTAGTTTTGTATTTTCAGTTTGAAATACGCAGACACGTAAGAGACGGTGAGAGTGTCTGGAAAATGCCAACTTGCCTTCTCCTGTTGACAAAAACACTGCTGTGAAGTTGTTTTTTGTTTGTTTGTGATATGAATTACTAGCCTGTCTAGCCGTCCTAAGTCTTTTTAAATGAGTGATTTTAAGATGTCATCTGGAGGTGAATGTTCCACAGTATGGCATTAAAGTGTATATAATGGGTTATATGATTAATTTCTCTAAAACAGCTCATTTTTCTTGGCCCTCAGACTTCCAGGTGAATTGGTCCATATTAAATTAAAAAGTACTTTAAAAAATGTATTCCAAATCAATCTGTGTGTCATTCGTTTATCCGTTTTTCAATATAGAACCAAAAATAAGAAATCGAAAAAAATAACAGTTTTCTTCATTATTTATCTCCAAAACCAAAATGAAAAAAACGGATAGATTCGGTTTTTTTAGGTTTCGTTTCAGTGAATAATGGAAAAAACAGATAACGGCCGTTTCCCATTTCCGTGACTTAAACTGTGATGCCGGACTTTTGCGCCCCATATGGACTGAACCAGGACTAAAACGGGACTAAACCAGATCTAAACCGTTTTCAGTCCTGGTCTGGTCCCGGCCTCAGTCCAGGTCTCAGTCCTGTTCTCAGTTCTGGTCTCAGTTCTGGTCTGGTCCCGGTCTTAGTCCTGGTCCTGTTCCCGGTCTCAGTCCTGGTCTCAGGTCTGGTCTGGTCCCGGTCTCAGTCCCGGTCTCAGTTCTGGTCTGGTCCCGGTCTCAGTCCTGTTCTCAGTTCTAGTCTCAGTTCTGGTCTCGTCCCGGTCTCAGTCCTGGTCCTGTTCCCGGTCTCAGTCCTGGTCTCAGGTCTGGTCTGGTCCCAGTCTCAGTCCCGGTCTCAGTTCTGGTCTGGTCCCAGTCTCAGTTCCGGTCTCAATCACTGCCTGGTCCCGGCCTCAGTCCCGGCCTCAGTCCCGGTCTCAGTCCCGGTTCTGTTCCCAGTCTCAGTCCTGGTCTCAGTTCTGGTCTGGTCCCAGTCTCAGTTCCGGTCTCAATCACAGCCTGGTCCTGGTCTGGTCCCGGCCTCAGTCCCGGTCCTGTTCCCAGTCCTGTTCCCGGTCTCAATCCCGGTTTGGTTCCAGTCTCAGGCCCAGGCTCAGACGCGGTCTCAGTCCTGGTCCTGGGCTCAGTCTTGGTCTGGTCCTGTCTAAGTCCTGGTCTCAGTCTGTACGTGGTTGTTATCCATTTTTTTCCATTCTTCATTGAAACACAAAATCGAAAACTGAAAAAACGATTTTTGGTTTTGGAGACAAATAATGAAGAAAACTGTTGTTTTTCCATTTTCTTATTTTTGGTTTTATATTGAAAAACGAATGAACGGATGACACACAGATTCAAATCTCTAACAAATATTTAGTGTGTCCTTTTGAGGACGTAAGCACGAACCAAGGGCTGGTGGTTCAGTCTAACCTCTTCTTAATGCACAAGTTTGAACTTTTCACTGTATTGAGCAACAATCTATGGCCCAATGCAGCACTATTTCCTGTATTTTTTGTAGTTTTCTCAACAAACTGTCACATAACTGATGTAAAATTGTGATAGATATTCAGCACAAGCACAATCCACCAAACCCAGTCACAATGAAACAAACATGAACCCTTCACATGCTCTGAACCTGTCGAATTAACTCATATTCACTTACAGCTGTTGTACTTGATACA